CACCCCACCCGCCCCCAACAGCTGACAGCAGAAGAAGGACAGCTGATCTATTTATAGCAGAGTTCTTTAGAGTCTCAGACCGGTTCTGTCTCCATCCGGACCACCTCCTCCACCTGCCCACCGTCCTCCGTCCGTCATGCCGGGTGGCCAGACCCGGAGCCGGGCCAGAGACCGGAACAATGTCCTGAACCGGCCCGAGTTCCTGTCCCTGAACCAGCCGTCTCGTAGGGAGCAGGCGGCGGGGGAGGGACGGGGCGGCGGGTCGAGGAGACCTGTGTTCAGACAGCAGAGTCAGCAGGAAGACCCCGGGGGGAGGTAAGACCCAGAGGCTCCGCCCACTTAACACCCCGCTGACATTTTTAGGGTGTAAACAGACCTCACACTGGAGCCGGGCCAGAACCAGGATCCAGGCTAAAGCTTGAACTTTTCAAGTTTTGAATGTTTGTTTAGCAACCAGATTCTGGACCCAGGAACCGGTTTCTGTTCAACTCTATGACAGATCCGGTCCAAACTCCTCAGAACTCTGAACAGAAGAATCCAGTCCGATGGGTCAGAACCTGCCTGAGGTTCTTTTGTTTTTGAGTTTTCATCAGAACTTCTTTAAATTTGTTAACTGAGAGTTTGGCTGCTTTTATTGTGAAAGGTTCCCTCGACACAGGCTAAGCATGACGGGAACTGTAGTTTTATTACTACACATTTGTTACACCGGCTGTCCTTTAGAGCAGTGTTTCATAAAGTTGGGGTCGGGACCCAAAGTGGGTCCGAAACATCAAGGTGGGGTCCTGAAAAGATTTTCTGAATTATGTTTTTGCCCTAGTTGTTACAAAGTAGTGAGGTTGGTATACTTAAAATGGATAAATTGTTACTATGCTCGTGTTTTGTTGACCTGATACAAATGTTTATCATCCAAAAACAGTTGGGGGCTCAGGTCTCTGCTGCTGTTATTTTGTGGGTCAAAAGCTGAAAAGTTTGGGAACCACTGAACTTTGGTTCCCAAAGTTGGGCTTGGGACCCAATTATGGGTCATGAAGCACCTTGGATAATCTCAAAGGGCAATAAAACAATTGCTGATGTAATATTTTCCCTATAACTATAATACAAAAACAAAATAAGTATAAATAAGTATTTATATTTGTGTANTCCAGTCCAGGTCAGGCTAGTGAGGTTCTGATCCGGTCCAGATCAGATTAGTGAGGTTCTGATCCGGTCCAGATCAGATTAGTGAGGTTCTGATCTGGTCCAGATCAGGTTAGTGAGGTTCTGATCCGGTCCAGATCAGCTGGGTGGACTGACAGTTTCTGAACCAGAACCATGTTTATTGGTTCTTCTCTAATCCGGGTCCAGATGTTCCTCTGTGGTTCTGCTTCAGTCTGATCAGGTGACTCAGTGCATCATGTATCTTCAGGTGAGGTCAAAGGTCACGGTGTTCTCAGGTAGACCCGTCAGAACCAAACCGTGCAGCTCACCTGAGTAACAGATCCACCTGAGCAGCGCTGATCCGCATCTTGTCCCTGCGGGCTGCCGTACCGCAAACCGCTGAGCGCCGCGCTTTTAGCAAATCCCGCAGTTAGCCTCCGTTAGCTTCCCGGCTAACGCCTCACGGCTGAGTTTACCGATAAAGTGACGTCACAGTTACTAATTGGTATAACCTAAGGGCGCGCGCGGTGATGGTTTAATAACGTTTCATCTCGTTTTTACCGGAGAGAAGCTGCTGTTAGCATCGTTAGCTGTGAGCCACCGCGGAGCGTCTGCAACCATTGGCAACCGTTCGTTTTCGGTCCGGCTCGGGTAGGAACAAAAGACTGGGAAAGGAAGTTCCGTTTAGAAGAGCTTTTGGGGGGGAAATAGGAGGCTTGAGATGCTTCAATAAAACTATTAATTTTGTTTTTAATCCTATAAGACAAAAAATTATTTTTTTATGTTTTATATACAGTAATTGTCTGTATATTACCACGGAGTATTAGGGCCACACAAGGAGATTTTTTTTCTTTTTTTAATTACTAGAATAAAGTCATAATATTATGAAATTAAAGTCATTTGGAAAAAAGTCAAATATTACTAGACACGGGTTTTTACGATGTAAAAACAAGTGTGCATTGCCATGTATGTCATTGCAGCATGGCTTTGCCTGCAGCATTGGACTTGCAGAATGAACTTTGACCAAGTTCAAATGTGTTTGCTATACCAGCTTGTGCCTGCCACATCAGCAGGTGCTTGTAATTAAGGTAATTGTGTGACAATTTGAAATTTGAAGAGATTTTTTGTTAAAGTTGCATTAGTTGGGTTTTGAACCCTGATCTCCCACATGAAAGTCCA